TATTACCTCTTTCTGATATTTTTTTATGATGATCGAATGAAAGTCCACGGCTAATAGAGAATTTCAAAAAAAGGTAACAAGTTGCTAACGGCAGTCAATATATTGGGAGAGCAGTGGTCGTGGGAGTGATTTCAAATCATTTTATATAGTAGACAATGGAAGTCCGAACTAGTGAAATCCAAAAAGTCGGATTTTACAAGGCTTTTCTGGAAATATAATATAAGGAACTTTTGTCGAAAGTACCGACAAAAGTTCCTTATGGATCTCAATTCTTAATAACGGAAAGACAGATGTTCAATAATTATTCTTATTTTTATACCTATCTCTTATATTTTGGCGTCCCCCTGGTTGGCTGGCTGCGTGTTGGCTTGTTTGGTCGGTTGGCCGCGACACATTTACACATTTACTGCTACTCGGTTCGTCTTAGTCCAGTTGGCTGGAGTTAGACGATTCACTACAAAACCCAAGAACTTTGAGTCCGGTCGGCAAAATGAACATTTTTCTCGATTTATAGTAAGGTTAGTTTCCTTCGAGAATTCAAATATATTTGGTATAACACTTCTGAATGCTTTTCAAAGCTTGGTGATGCAACAATAATATCGTCCAGATATTTACAGCAGAATGTTATCAGTTCTGGGTCTAGTTAATCATCCACAAGGCGGTGACAGGTGGCTGGTGTTTATGTAACAGGCTACGAGATGGTACCGTGAATGTTGTGAATAATTCCGACGTTGAGACGTTGATCATTTCATCTAATTTTGTGTTTATATTCCCAGAACAGGGAGTTCCACAGGGTTCACTGCTCTCACCTTGTTTTATAACTTATACAGCTCTGATATTTATCATCACCAACAAGGGAATATCAACCACTTCAGGCATGAGGCATATATTCTCCAGTATGCAGATGACACCGCCCTAATTGCACACGATCAAACGCTAGACAAAGTTATTAACAATTTGGAACATTTGCAACAATAACTGGTTCAATAAATTTAGGCTTCAGCCAAACCCATGTAAGTTTCAGTTCATCATATTCAATCATCGGAATTCTGCAACTTTTCCTACAATCAACGTTTTCCAACATATCTTACATGCCAAATCGACAGCTGATTATCTAGGTGTAACGCTTGATTCCAGACTAAATTTCAACAGCCACGTCAATTACAAAAAAAAAGAAAGTGATTGCAAGAGCCACACAGTTCACAAGTTTGACGAACCCGGGAGCAGGTGTAAACATATGAACAGCAAGCCGAATATATAAACTAATCTGTCGTCCACTTATTGAATACTCGCACCCACTGTTTCTCAATATCAAACAAAGGGCCTTGAAAACAATTAAAATATCAGAAATAACGACTATAAGGAAAATAACCAGATTAAGGCATCCCAATAACCCCAAACATAACCCTCCAAACCCTCTGCTGTACCAACTACTGGTATTATCCCTATCTAGGAAAGACTACCGTCACTTACTCACAAGTTTGCTAGAAAAAATGACAATGTAGAAATCATTAGAAAGTATGCTGTGACACGAAACACCCATGCAAGAATACGACATCGACACCCAACAGAAACACTGTTAGAAAAATTAACACAACTTTATCAATGAAATTGTTTTGTTTGTTCATTTTTATATCCATATAATGTAGCATAAAGTTCAAATT